ACACGGCGTGGCCACAGCTTGGGAGAGCTCTGCCTTGCACGAGGGGCTTTTCTGGGATGCAGCCAGCCCCAAATTCCTGCCTCAGCTCCTGCGTTTGAGCTGGATAGACCCACTCTGTTCATCCAAAGCTCTGCCACCCTCAGGACCAGGAAAAGCAGTGTTGTTGGGAAGCTGAGAAGAACAAGGTTATTCCTGTTTTGGTGTCACCAGACAAGCTGCCATGCAGGTCCACCTTGCTGTTTCTCTTCTTAAAACATAAATAAAAACCAAAGCCACAAAGAAGCGCAGTTCCCAGACCAGATCCATTTGAAAAATGTGTTTTTGTCATCTCCACTGTGGTTTGTTTGACTAATCCCCAGCAGAGTGGGGATGGACTCCAGGGATGAGGTCCTAGGTCTGCATGGTGAGGGGTCTGCTCACTGCTGGAGATTTTCCCAGATTTCCTGGGTAAAAAACCACTTGTCTTTCTTTTTTTTCCTCTCTTCTGTGTGTAGTTTTTTCCCTGCATCTCAAGGAACACAGACCCCATTTTTTCCTGGGATGGTGATGTGTCCCTCAGCACCTCTCCTAAGAAGGAGCAACAGCTTATCAGATCCTCAGGAACTCCAGGGAAAGGCTGATGGTAGAAAATCTGGACATTTTCCACTCGGCTTGTGCCTGTGGATAGATGGATGGATGGATGGATGGATGGATGGATGGATGGATGGATGAGGGATGGATGGATGATGGATGGATGATGGATGGATGATGGATGGATGGATGGATGGATCGATGGTGATGGATGGATGGATGATGGATGGATGGATGAGGGATGGATGGCTGGATAGATGGATGGATGGATGGATGATGGATGGATGGATGGATGGATGGATGATGGATGGATGGATGGATGGATGGATGGATGGATGGATGGGTGATGGATGGATGGATGGATGGATGGATGATGGATGGGTGATGGATGGGTGGATGGATGGATGGATGAGGGATGGATGGCTGGATAGATGGATGGATGGATGGATGATGGATGGATGGATGATGGATGGATGGTGATGGATGGATGGATGATGGATGGGTGAACGGGAGTGATGGCCAAGTGATTCCACACTTGTCCTGCCGTTGGAGGGGGCTGCCTGGGCTCGGCAGCAGGGTGTGGCAGAGCAGATGACGCTCCCTGCTGAGGGCTGGGTTTATCTTTGGCTGCTGGGTGTGCCTGTGCCATCTGCTGTGCCCGGGGTGTCACTGCTGCAGTGCGGGCTGTGCGTGGGGCTGAGCTGGGATGAGTCACTGTCCCCTGACCAGCTCTGCAGGAGCTGCAGCACCAGTTTTCTGGTGCAGCAGCTCCGAGCTCGGATCAATAGAAAGAACTCCTTGCATGTCTGATCTCTGCCCGTCTGTCTCTGAATTGTTTGTATCAGCTGGGTTCAGCCTGATCGCAGTCGAGGTGCCCTGTCAGATCCTCTCCCACAGCCCCTGAATTTTGTCTGACTCTTCAGCCCAGGAATGTGGCACTGATGAGGCTGAGATCTGCAGACTGAAGGCTTTAAGCAGCCCCTGTCTGCCCAGCCCTGTGCAATGTTTTGCCACAAATCCCATGTCCAGCACGAGGATGTGTTTTTGGGGTTAACACCATGCTGGAGCCACCCCAGTGATCCCAACTTTGCACCTTCATGCTTGAGAGCTGCTGCAAATCTCCATCAGCACTTTGGCATTTAAGTCTTTTTATAAGATCCCATTTGTTGAGGCTTTGCCTTTCTCTCAGGCTTTCTGTTATTTAGTAGGTGTTTCATCTCCTCTAATGTGCCCAGAGGAATCGTGGTGCATCTGTGCTGCCGAAGGAGGCTTGGCATTAAGCAAAAACTTCCCTCTTTCTGATGCTTGGAGAAGCAGGAGTGGGGTTGGAGGGGAGAAATTAAAGCAGGGCTTTATGATGGCTTGAAAAAGAAGAAGAATCCACTCCAGATGGACAAAAGCCACGACACAAATCTGAGTTTACCTGGCTCTGGCAGCCCAGCAGAAAACATTGGTGGGCCTGGGGAGCCTCTGCAGCCCAGAGAAGTTTGCAGAAAGGAACCTCTTGCCTTTTTGCATAACAGCTTTCACATGGCAGAGCCTGAGCTCTGTTGACATGCAGCAAACAGCAATGCTGAGGGAAGGAGGGAGAGCACTGGGAATCAGCCCCAGGAGCTGGGATAATGGCATCAACAGGCAGAGAGGGCTCCTTTAGCCTGTGTTTCAATATTATATTATATTATATTATATTATATTATATTATATTATATTATATTCCTGGAATTTCATATTGCAGGGTTTGGTTTTGCACTTGGCCTAGAGCTGCTCTCACTAATGGTCTGAAAAGCCTCATTGTGTCACAGCCAGCTCTGGTTTCCCCCAAATAATACCTGTGCCCCTGCTGCTCTGCCTGAACATCCCATAACCTGCTCCCAGATGCAGCAGGGAGGGAGTGCTGGGGTAATTGTCGATAAATAGCAAGTTTTGACGTTATTGGAATGCCTCAGCAAAGAGCTGGGTGAGTTCAGAGAGTTGTGTCTCGTGGCCAGAGATGCTTGGGCTGTTCTCAAGCAGAGTGGGCTCAAATGTGCTGTGGGAAACAGTGGTGTGTGGAAAAGTGTGGGATTTAGGGTCCGTGACAAGGTGATGGAGAAGGAGAGAGTTCCCACTGCAGCTGCACAAAGCTGCCTTCCAGGTGTAGGAAAAGCGTGTGCAGGTTTCCAAGGGAGGTCATTAATAATAATAATAATAATGTTATTAGCATCTAGTAAGTGTTTCTCATCTCTGAGCTGCTCAGATATAATTCAGCAGCATGTGACAGGCTGCTGGCAAGATCATTCCCACCCCACAGGATTTGGGACAGGTCTCTCCTGTCTATCTGGAGCCAAAGGCAGGATGTTTGCATGGAGCTTCTGTCCCATGGGAGCTGGAGAGGGGCAAGGCATGGCCTCCAGGGAGATTCAGCACTGCCAGCCTCAGAGGTGGCTGAATTTGGGATTTCTGCTTTAAACTGACCTGACTTTTCTTTAGGATTCCCTGATTCTATCCCTTCACCCACCCCCTTCCCTCTCCCGCAGTGACTCGAAGTGTGGCTTCCTTTGTGGTGCTTTCCATCATTTGTCTTTGACCTTTTTCATTCCAGGACCTGTCCCTCTGCAGAGAAAGGGCTTTCCCTGTCCAAGCAGGATCATCCCTGACATAGAGCTGATTTCCCAGGCTGGGGCTGCTCCCTGCCTTCCCCAAACCTCACATTGCCTGGGATATCCCGCTCTGGCCACACTGGGAACAGACATCAGAGAGGGGGGTGATCCTGCAGGGGCTTTGGGGTTTCGTGGTCCCCTGCAGGGACTGGGGGTGACTCTGTGAGAAATGCTACTCACTTCCAAAAATTTTAAAAGGTTTATCAAAACCTTATCCAAAAATACAACAGAAGACTGAATAGATAAAATATTACAGCACCGGGAGCAGAGGATTTTTCCCACCTCACATTGCCTGGGATATCCCGCTCTGGCCACACTGGGAACAGACATCAGAGAGGGGGGTGATCCTGCAGGGGCTTTGGGGTTTCGTGGTCACCTGCAGGGACTGGAGGTGACTCTGTGAGAAATGCTACTCACTTCCAAAAATTTTAAAAGGTTTATCAAAACCTCATCCAAAAATACAACAGAAGACTGAATAGATAAAATATTACAGCACCGGGAGCAGAGGATTTTTCCCACCGTGTCCTCCTCCACACAATGGAGGTTTTGCATTTTAACCCTTTAGCTCCTCCAAAATTCTGTCCATTGACTCCTTCTTCACTGTCCAGTGGTGGAGATGACTTCCTTAAATCTTGATTGGAGGTCAGCTGCCATGGTAATGAGCCAACCCTCCCAAATGTCCCAAATCCAGGCCACCCCCTGATGACAGCACAAGGGGGGTAAAACATAACTATAAATCTCTAAAACTTCTCTTAACATATGTACATCATATTTGCCTTTTAATTGTGAGGGTCAGCCATCACATTGTGGAGATGACAGTCTGCTCAGAGAGAGAGAAAGCCAGACAAGCTTTCCCATGAATTGGTCTGGGAAGTTTTAGGGAGGCAGAGAGAAAGAATGGTGAACAATCTGCAGGTGGTGTTTGTAGCAAGTTGTTTTCCTCAGAAGGTGTTTACCGAAGGATGTCTTCTTAATTAAGCAATCATGTGAAATGTGTTGATTAAGTGACCAGTCAGGTCCACCTGTATGGGACCAGTGTATAAAAGAGGGAGTTCCAATAAACTGGGGGTGTCTAGCCTCTTTAGTCTTCTGCCCTGGAGTCTGTGTCACTTGTCCCTTCCTGACTCAGTGGTGACAACCACGTTACTCTGACAGAACCAGAGGTCACAGTCTCCAGCTGCACCAAGGGAAATGCAGGTTGGATATCAGGAAAAAGTTTTCCACACAAAGAGTGATAAAGTTCTGGAATTGTGTGCCTGGGGAGGTGGTTTTTTTTTTTTTTCTCTCTACAACTTCCTGAAGGGAGGTTGCAGATGGGTGGGAATCAGTCTCTTCCACCAGGCAGCACTGACAGAACCAGAGGACACAGTCTCCAGCTACGTCAGGGAAGGTATAGGTTGGATATTAGCAAAAAATTTTTCACCAAAAGAATAATAAAATACTGGAACACTCTACCCAGGGAGGTGGTGGAATCACCATCTCTGGATGTGTTTAAAAAAAGGCTGGACATGGCACTTGGTGCTATTGGTCTAGTTGAGGTGTTAGGGATGGACTTGATGATCTTAGAGGTCTCTTCCAACCTCGTTATTCTGTGATTCTGTGGTGCAGTCCCCCTCCCTCCCTGGGTGTGTTTAACAAAGCCTGGATGTGGCACTGGCTGCCAGGGCTGACTTGAGGTGTCAGGGAATGGGGTGGACTCGATGATCTTGGAGGTCTCTCCCCACGCTGTGATTGTGTGACCATCCTCCTGTCACAGTCTGACGCTGCCACTGTCCCTCTGTGTCCCTGCAGCCGTGCAGGAGGAGAGGCAGCGGGGCAAGGACCGCAACGAGAACGAGGTGGAGTCCACGAGCAGCGCCAACGAGGACATGCCCGTGGAGAAGATCCTGGAGGCCGAGCTCGCCGTGGAGCCAAAGACAGAGACCTACATCGAGGCAAACATGGGCCTGACCCCCAGCTCGGTGAGCACCTCTGCCCAGCCCCTCTTTGGCACATCAGACTGACCAGCTGGGGCACAGAGGGGTTGTCCTCTGTGGAAAATAAAAGTGCAATTCTTGGCTCTGCTGTAGGCTCTGTGAGCCAGCCCAGCCCCTGGAGGGCAGAGCCAGCAGCCACCAGCGTTTGGTGTCTTCTGTCCCGCAGCCACAGGGAAGTGAGAGGTGTTGTAAGGAGTGATTAAAAGGCTCACAGAGAAGGTTTTATTGTAAATAGCAGCTCTCAGTGCTGAAAGGCAGGAAGGCACTCTGCTCTGAAGAGCTCAGAGTCCAATTGAGGCAATAAACCTGTGTGGCTGAAGTGCAGAGAGATAAGAGCTTGAGAATGAGGGTGTGACTCCTCAGGTGCAGAATTAAGCAGCTGCTTGGCTCTGAGGAGAGAAAATCTGGAGAAATTTGCCTATGAGTTGGTTTTCAAGTTCTTTTCCCAGTTAGAAACCTGCATTATAACTGGGCCTGCTTGGAGCATCTGGGCTGTACCAGGCTGTTGTGTGCCCAAGAGAAGAGGGATGAGAGGGAGATGGGACAGGAGCAGCCTGGGCTGCTGGAAGGTGTCCCTGCCCATGGCAGGGGGTTGGGATGGGGATGTCTTGAGGTCCCTTCCAAGCCAAACCAGTCTGGGATTCTGTGGAGAGTGAGGGGAAGTGTTTTGGGTCCTTTCCTATGAGATTCCCTTATCAAAAGGGAGAAATCTCCCTGCAAAGCAGCAGCCTCCTAATGAGAAAGCCAAAGCCTCCTCTGAAATTGCATTTCTGGGATGGACCTTCTGCAGCCCAGGCAGTGTTAGGGACAGTCCCCACTCCTCCATGGCCTTTTTTCCTTTATAAGCAGTAGGAATAGAGGAATTCCTCTGAAAAACAGCAATTGAGGCTGCAGTGGGGAGCATCTCCTGCTCCTTTGAGGGACTCAGAGGTTGCACTCTGCCAACATTTGGGCTGGCTGAGCCAGGAGAGCAGGCTCATGCACTGAAATACCCGTGCAGTTCCTGCTGGGTGGCTGTGAGGCTGAGCTGAGAAAGCAGGCTCATGCACTGAAATACCCCTGTGCAGTTCCTGCTGGGTGGCTGTGAGGCTGAGCTGATGAAATGCAGCTATTCCGAGCAAGTGCAAGGACTCTGCAGTGTTTATTTGCTGTTACAACAATACTTTTATCTCTCTCTTTATATGAGGCTTGGAGGGTTTGAGTCAGAAATCCCTTCCTCTGGCAGGGGGTTGGAAATAGAGCATCTTTAGTGTCCCTTCCAGCAGAATTCTGTGAGGGATCTGGGAGTCAGGACAGCTGTAATTGGCTTTTTGGGATGCTCTTTTTGCAAAGACAGCTTTTCCTAGCATTTCTTAGGTGGCTCTTGGATATCCAAGGCTTTGTGGTATGGACAGAGCCAATCCCTCAGTGAAACTCCAGGATCAGGCACAGGATCAGGTACAAACCCTCACCTGCATTTAGGAGGAGGATCCATCCCCACGAGGCTGGTTTTTTTGGAGGAGTTAGTGAGGGGCTCAGAGAGGCTCTGACTGCCCACAGGATCAAAAATCCTTCAGGGGAGCTGGAGCCAGCCTGGTGCTGACTTGAAAACAAACCCCAGAGAGGGAGCTGAAATAAATGGCTTCGTCTGGCACCGAGTCTCCTCAAATTGAAAGCCGGTTCCTGCATAATTCAACAGGCATTACTGTGAACAAGGATGTGTGTTGCATCTAAATAGAAGCAGGAGGCTCGTTGAAATGCCCTGTTATTGTCGAGCACGAGGTGACATTTGTAGCAGGTTCAGCAGATGGATGAGATCAGCAGCTCCCGGTGACGAGGCCACCACGGGATGAGGAGAGGGAAGACAGAGGAGCTGCTGCCTTTCCCCAGAGCCCAGGTGATGGAAAGGCAGACAAATCGAGGCCCTGATAAACACAGGGAGAACACTGAGCTGTTTGCTGTGTGCCTCGTGTGTTGGGTGCTTTGATTTGTGCCTCTGCACTCGGGCTGGTGACCTGCAGGGACATTGCCAGGCTGGGATGGGGGTGGTGGGGTGATTTAGGGATTGGCACCCACACAGAATGGGTTAGAAGGGACCTTAAAATCATCTTAAAAGCACTTTCCACTATCCCAGGTTGCTCCAAGCTCCATCTAGCCTGGCCTTGAGCTCTTCCAGGGATGGAGCAGCCACAGCTTCCCCAGGGACTCCCCACCCTCCCAGGGAAGAATTTTTCCCCAATATCTGCTCTAACCCCGCTCTCTTGTAGTTCAAATCCATTCCCCCTTGTCCTGTCCCTCCAAGCCCTCGTGGCTGTGGCTGTCACCTTGTGCCATGTCCCTGTCCCAGGGGGTGGCTTTGCCTCTGCCCCATGCCTTGGCAATTTGGGCTCCTGCCCTGCGAGCAGGGCCTGGGACAGGCTCCTGGCCAGAAGGCAAAGCCTGTACCTGAGAGCTGCCCTCCCCACTGGCTCTTAACTGGCCTTTGAACGTCTGGTTTCAAGTCCCCATTTTGTGGAAGATGCCTCCAATTGCAGTTTTCCAGGAGGATCAGCTGCAGTTTTCCAGGAGGATCAGGTGCCCTTTGGCTCTGTCACACCCCGGCACCGAGCCCTTGCTATTTATTTACTGCAGGAGGGGATTTGCTTTCCGTGCACAGGGAGGGTTTCCAGCACTGCCCTTCCCCTCCTGGAGCCAGGCAGGGCCCTCTGGATACTTTTAGCTGCTTCTCACGCTCCAGTGATCAGGTTCTGCCAGGAAGAGCCGTGGTGGTTCCAGGAATTGCCATCTGAGGTGGAACTGAAGCCGAGGATGAGGCTTTGGAGCGCCAGGGCTTGGGGACAGCTTGTGCTGCCCACGGAGGGACAGCCAGGGCTGGGGCACCTGGAGCCCCTGCCCGGGAGCCAGCCCTGATAAAAGCTTTGGCAAAAACATCTGATTTACCTAAATTACCCCTTTTGTGGGGCTCTGCAGGCCCTTGTTGCCGCAAGGGTTGGGTTCTGCTGGAGCATAAGTCATGATCCCCATCCCACCCCACCTGGATGCCAGGATTCTCCACCTGGCTGAGCAAACTGGCATCAGACTTGAGGTCAGGGATGTTCAGGGCCTCTGGTGTCCCTTCTCCCCCTTCCTGCCTCTGAATATCCACATTCCCAGCGCTTCCAGTGGAACCCTGAACCCTGCAAAGCTCCTCCTCACACGCACTTCTGAGTTTTCCCCTTCTCCAGGGGAAATCCAATCTGATCTCCTTCTCCTGGGAAAAGCCCGGTCCCTGCTCACCTCTCCTTCCTCAGGGAAGAGCCCCAGCTCCCTGAGGGCGAGACTGCCCTGCCCTTGCAGCCCTGGGGGAGCTGCTGGAGCGGGGTGGGACAGGGGGGGCCCATCCCTGCGCGGTGCCAGCCTGTGCCCATCCATCTCTGCACGCGACAGGTGGAAATGCTCCCAGGGCAGGTGCCCCGAGCTTGCCAAATCCTGGCTATTTTTAAGCCTGGAGAATGGGAGATGTTGGCCACGGAGGCATCAGAGCTTTGGGTTTGCTGCCAGGGCTCTGAGGGAGCCCCCTCTGGGAGGGGGCTGTGCCACAGGTCACGCTGACATTCCTGTCTGCTCTTCCTCTGAATTTACACCCCTTCCCCCTGCAAGCCAGGGGTGAAGTAAACACTTCTCCTCCAGTTTGGAAACTGCTCTTTTAAGGACATGGAGGGAAGCTAATTGTACAATGCAAGCTGCTGGGTATCAGCAGGGATTACAGAGGGAGGTGGGAAGGGCTCATGCATCCCTGTCCAGAGAGGTAAACCCCACAGACTCGCTTGGATCAGCGAGCTCAGCCTTCCCCAGGGTTAAACAGGCTCTTCCAGTTCCTAATCACAAATCCACTTGAGCTGTGAGCAGTTCCTTTAAACAGGGATTTGGTGTGTTTAGGCTGACTGTCCTCCTTGAGAGCAGATGGTTTCTGTTACTGGATAATATTTCAAAGGAAAGGGGTTTTCTCTTTTTTTTTTGGATTTTTTTTTTCTGTAATGCCCCCTCTGGTGCTGGTTTATCGAGCTGGGAGAGGCTGGAGTCTGCCCTTCCCCAGGCTGGAGCTGCTTGGATTCATCAGTCAGGGTGATGGATATGGAGTCTCAGCACTCCCAATTCCCATGTTGGGGCTTGCTAAAAACAATTACAGCCCTCGTGGTGGAGCAGCCAAATCACTTCCCTTGCCTGTGAGTGATAACACCCACCTCAGGGATGGCAGGCAGGCTGCTCCTCCAGCCTCTCTTTTCCTCACTCTGCCTTTTCCAAGCTTTTCCATCTCTTTTTTTAAATTTCTTTATTTTGTTTTTTTTGGCAGCCCAATGACCCGGTGACAAACATCTGCCAGGCAGCAGACAAGCAGCTCTTCACCCTGGTGGAGTGGGCCAAGAGGATCCCCCACTTCTCCGAGCTGCCCCTGGATGACCAGGTCATCTTGCTCAGAGCAGGTGAGTGACATCTGTCCCCACGTGGGCACTGCTCAGTGTCCCCTGGGACTGGTTGTGCCCTCAGGTTTAGGTCCTGGCAGCTTGAAAATCTTTAACTGATTATTGACACTCTGATAATTCCGTTTTTAAATAGGATTTTGAAAGCCTTGCATGGGATGTGTTGGTGAATTGGATCCAAAACGTGTCAATCAGCTGAAAAATGGCCCAGCTTCATCTCTGATCCATGAGGAGCTGGCTGTCTTAAACCAAAGGAGTTAAACCCTGCCTTCCTCCCAAACTGAGCCTTGAAAAACCCAAGTGGGCTCAGGCCCCCATGAAATTTCATCAAACTGAAATGTTTGATCATAATTAAAACCAGAGAGGAGAGGAAAGTACATCTCACTTCTTCTCCCACCCACCAAGATGAAAATAGAACTCTCAAGGCTTATTTTAAATTTCCTTGTGCAGCAGGGGGGCTGCAGGAGCAGGATTTGGGAGGTGGAAGCAGTTGGTTGTGGGCAGGGTCTTCCCCTGTTGAGTGAACTCAAGCTCCTGCTGCTGCACAAAGCTCGTGGAGGGCAAGAAACCAGGAGCAGAGCTCGGGGAGGATGTGTTTGAGGCATGAAGCTCTTTGTAAGGCAGGGACGTTGAAGTCCTTGGTACTTTTAAAGTTCCTTTTATTTCCTCCAAATTCGCTTTTGTCCAGGTGCTGCACCCTTCCAGGATGGCTCCTGCAGCCTCTGGGTGAAGGTGCTCCATGGATTTTGCCAGAGCTGGCTCTGGGCCCTTTGGAACATCCAAAGTGTGGGTTAGAGGAGGATTTCTAGAGCCTCTTGTGAGAGGGGATGAGCAGGGAAGCCTCTCTATGGGGATCTTGGAGGGCTTTCTGCAAAGAGCTGGATTCAGAACAAGCTCTGCCTTTTCCTTTTGGGAAGTGGAGCCCAACCCCACCATGGCAGTTCCAGGTTTTCCTCTCTCTTCAGCAGGCAGCTGATTAAAACTGGAGCTGGAGAACTCCTGACCTGTGTTCTCTGATTGTCACTCACTCCACACAGCAGGAGAGGAGCTGCCAACCCCCTCATATCCCAAATTTTCCTGGTGGCTCCAACCCTGAGACTGCTGAGCAGCTCCCTGGAGCTCCCTGCTCCAGACACCTCTGCCAGGGCCTCAGATAACCTTCCCCAGGCCTTCCAACCAGTGCTCAATGTATTATTGAGTGGCCTGCTGAGAACAGCTGCCCATGAAATATTGAAGCATTAAAATCCAGCTAAGAGCCTCAGTCAGGCGTCCTGGGAGGCAAAACAAGTGGAGCACACAGCTCTGGAGGAGCAGTGCTGGATGGGCTGGCAGCAGCTCTCCTCAAATCCTGAATCATTTAAAAATACTCCCTCTCTGAGCTGTTTGGAAGGGAAGGAAACCTGACTTTTTAAGCGTGTTTTCCGCTGGTTTTCTTGTTTCCAAGCTGAGACAGGAATAACCTGATGTTTTCTCAGCCTGGCAGAGGGTGCTGAGTGTTACATCCCCGCAGCTGGGTTTTGTAGGGCTGGTGGGGAAACTTGGCAGAGAAATGGATTGACACTGCTCTGCCAGAGTGCCTTCCCTGTCCCAGAGGAGCCAGAGCACCCCTGGAGGCTGCAGCCACCCAGTTTGGTGAGAGAGGAGTCCCAGGAGTCACAGAATTCTGCTGTCCACTCCAGAGCTTGGGCTGAAATGCAGAACTCTCAGGGGAGGCTGGTCTCTAATTCCAGTTTGCTGCCTGTGGTTGTGGTGAATTTTCCCTGCTTGCCTCTGTCTCGGCAGCTCTTTGGGAAAGCCAAGGTGGGGAAATCTCACCCATTCCAGCTGCAACATCCCAGCTCTATGTGGAATAATCCAGAGGAAGGATGCTGATGAATCCAGCCCTCCTTCACTGGAATAAGCCCAGTTTGGAAGAGTGTGGAGAGCCAGCTCTGGTTGCTGTTGGTTGGAGCTGCTGTGGGGCTGTGTGTGACAAATTCCCATGGATCTGCCTCCGGGAGTTCCTCTTCCTCCAGAGAATGGGGCTCTACAGGCTCCTTCTCCTCCATCCTGCTCGGGTTTCAGTGTTGCAATCCCTGTGAAAGTGCCAGGCCTCACCCAGTAAATAGCCAGAGAAATGTTCCCGTGCTGGGGTGGAAACATCCTGTGGCCACTTAGGAAAGAGTGAACTTTATTCCTTGTCAACATTTCTGATGGCACAACCCACGGCTGCAGCAGAAGGTAAATACAGCACACATGGGCCTTGTGTTTGTTCCAGGCTGTGAGATGTGTTCTTGTGACAGGAGAGGTGAGGGATATTGTTGTGATGTTTTTCCAGCCTGGGAAAAAAAAAAACCTAAATCCAAATATGCTGAGGTTTCTGGACCAGAACTCCAGAACATGTTCAGGCCAGGGGTGTTGCAGAAGACCCCATCTTGTCTTACTGAAGATGCTGCTCCTGGCTGGAAGTCACCCAGATTTTCACCCTTCGAGCTTGGCAGCATTTCCTCTCACTGGGGCTTTGTTTCAGGAGTTCTGGAGCTCAGCCTGTGATGGATTTAGGAATTGAAGAGGTGTTGAATTGGGAAGGGCAGCTGGAAGGTGTGGAGGCCACATCTCCCTTCCCTTCCCTGTAGGTCTGGGCTCAGAGGATGTCCTTCCCATATCCCAAATCAGCCTGCCCAGCTGATAAGGCTAAAATCAGTTTTCCAAGCAGCTGTGGAAGCAGTCACAGGACGTGGGGCTGTGCAGAGAACAGACCCAATCCCTCCCAGCATTTTCATGGCAGAAGCAACAAACCCACAAATAAAGCCAGAGATTTCACGGTCCCTTTTACAGGGCTCAGGGCTGGTGAATGAACTTCTGTGGCCTGAGGAGGAGCCTGATGAGCTGATAGCAAGTGCTGATAGGGCTGGAAGTGCTGGGAGGCTGAGGGCAGAGGCGAGCTCAGGGCTCCACACCCACGGGGAGCTTCAGGCAGAGCTGTTTGCTCGGTGTCTGCACGGTTTATAGAGGAAACTGCTCCCCTTACTAGCTTTATTTTTAGTGCCTTGGGTTCCTGATGGTTTTTTCCTTCCCTGACATCCAAGAAAAAGCTGGCTCCCCCTTCCTTTCCCACATCCAGCCACGTTCCTGCAGCAAAGGCTCCCGTTAGAGCGGTGACGTCACCGAATCCCAAACTTCCCGAGGATCCCGTGGCTCTAACCTGCAGCCTCGCTGGTTTTCTCCTCCCCAGGGTGGAACGAGCTGCTAATTGCCTCCTTCTCCCACCGCTCCATAGCCGTGAAGGACGGGATCCTGCTGGCCACGGGGCTGCACGTGCACAGGAACAGCGCCCACAGCGCCGGCGTCGGGGCCATCTTCGACAGGTGGGGTGGAGTGGGATGGGATGGGATGGGACATGGTGTTCCTTGTCCATCTTCGACAGGTGGGCAGGGATGGGATGGGTGGTCATCACAATTCCTCTGAGCTCAGAGATGGGTGGTCACATCTCTGAGCACAGAGACACATGGGATTCCCTGGGCATCTTTGACAGGTGGGCAGGGATGGGATGGGATAGGATGGGTGGTGATCACATCTCTGAGCTCAGACAGGCATGGTGTTCCCTGGCCATCTTCAACAGGTGGGATGGGATGGGATGGGTGGTCACATCTCCTCTGAGCACAGACAGACATGGTTCTCCCAGGAAAACCCTGGGAAGCTGTGAGAAGCCGTGGTGTGGAATTTGTAGGCAACCCCAACAAGGGAAGAGATGAGAATCTTGACTCCGTGTTTCAGAAGGCTGAGTTATTATTTTGTTGTATTATATTTAAAATGCTAAAACGATATTAAAAGAATAGAGAGAAAGACACAGATAGAAGGTTAGACAAGAATGAAGAAGAATGAATAACAAAAACTTCTGACTGCTCAGAGCTTCAACATAGCTGGCTGTCATTGGTCATCAAGTAAAAACAAATTCACATGAGACCAAAGATGCACCTGCCACATTCCACAGCAGCAGATAGTTATTGTTTACATTTCTTTTCTGAGGCTTCTCAGCTTCTCAGGAGAAAAAATCCTGGCGAAAGGATTTTCATAAAATATCACAGTGGTGAGAAGCCGTGGTGTGGAATTTGTAGGCAACCCCAACAAGGGAAGAGATGAGAATCTTGACTCCGTGTTTCAGAAGGCTGAGTTATTATTTTGTGATATTATATTATATTAAAAATGCTATACTAAACCGATATTAAAAGAATAGAGAGAAAGACACAGATAGAAGGTTAGACAAGAATGAAGAAGAATGAATAACAAAAACTTCTGACTGCTCAGAGCTTCAACATAGCTGGCTGTCATTGGTCATCAAGTAAAAACAAATTCACATGAGACCAAAGATGCACCTGCCACATTCCACAGCAGCAGATAGTTATTGTTTACATTTCTTTTCTGAGGCTTCTCAGCTTCTCAGGAGAAAAAATCCTGGCCAAAGGATTTTCATAAAATATCACAGTGGCACTGTGGAATGTTGTATTTGCCAGGTTCCCCAAATGAGGGAGGAGTGATGCATCTGACTCCACGTTCTTAGAAGGCTAATTATTATTTTATGATACTATATTATATAAAAGAATACTAAACTAAACTACACTAAAGAATACAGAAAGGATACTTACGTAATGAAACTCTTGACTCTTTCTCCAGAGTCCCAACACAGCTTGGCCCCAATTGGCCAATAAGTCAAAATAATTCACAGCAGAAACCAATGAAACAACCACCTGTTGGATAAACAATCTCCAACCACATTCCAAAGCAGCAAAACACAGGAGAAGCAAATGAGATAAGAATTGTTTTCCTTTCCTCTGAGGCTTCTCAGCTTCCCGGGAGAAAAATCCTGGAAAAGGGGATTTTTCCAGACAATATGACAGTATCAGTGGGAAACTTAGAGAAAAGAATTCAAACAATTCTTACCTCTCTTTCTGTAACCATTGTTTGTAGATATGGCTCTCCAGAGTGTGCTGTTCATAGCTCACCAATACTGTGAGAGGTTTTTATTTTGAGGCCAATCAAATCTCACCTTAACGAGTCACATCAAAAAAGGACCTGCTACTTTCATTAAATTGCCTTCTGATTCACCTCATGAAGACTGGAGTCTTTCATTCCATCCCTGACTCAACAGCATCAGGGATGGGGGGCTGGGCTTCCATCAAACCACCTCACCTGGACATCCCCATCCCTGCCTCCACCCCAGACTGCCTCCATGCCTGCTTGAGGGGTCTGAGGAGCCCGGGATGAGGGAATCCATGCCAGGAAAACACAAGGAGAAAACCCCTCCTGAAACCTGCAAAAAACCCAACGGCCCCAAGCAGGGAGGAGGTTACTCAGTGCAAAAAAACCAAAAGCCCCAAGCAGGGAGAAGACTGCCCAGTGCAAAAAACCCAAAAACAGCCCCAAACACAGAGGAGGCTGCCCAGTGCAAATCAAAGCCCCTTTCATGGGGTCCAGATGCCTTCTAATGTTATGAGGAGGCCACTGCTTTGTTCCTTTTCATCTTTAATTGGACCAAGACGCGATTTTATTTGCACAATGAGAAGGCCCCAGCGATGCTCAGCAGGTTCCACAGGCGTGTCCCCAGGGCTCTTTAATCTCAGGCTTTGGGAAGGTGTTTTAAAGCCAGGCTTGCAGGGTGTTTGACCCACAGCGTGACTCCAGACGCTGCTGAAATGCTGATTCCTCTCCCTGAGACTCATCTTGAGTTGAAACCAAATCACCTTTGCTGCTCTGCTCTGTGAGGAAATTGTTCTTCGGACCTGGCTGACATCATTTGTTCCTGTGAGGTCATAAGTGCAAGATCATGACTTTGCTGCAGGATCTAACTTGAAAAACTGGGCAATCAGTGGAAAATATTTCAAGACCGACACCTTCAGTAAGAGCAAAGGGAGCAATAAAAATTACCGGCAGAGGAAATTACTTTTAGATACCTGTTGGGGTGGGTTTTTATTGTTATTTTTTATTTTTAGGCAGCTTTCTCAGGTGCCAGAGCCTCTCAGTGAATGGATGAAGGCGGTTTTTATGGTCCCTGTTGTATCTCACAGGAACTATTGATGTTCCTAATGAGCTATTTTTGATGGAGGAGGAAAATGAGGCCACATCCTCAGCTGGTACAGGCCAGCACCATCCCCAGCTTCGTTAAACGTGACCGGAGCTTCTCACTCCAGCTCTGACACCTGGGGCTTTTCATTCCCTTTCTTTTTTTTTTTTTATTTTCATGCTGACTCTGTGCTTTCTCTGTCCTTTTGCAGAGTACTGACAGAACTGGTGTCCAAAATGAGAGACATGCTGATGGACAAGACAGAGCTGGGCTGCCTGCGAGCCATTGTCCTCTTCAACCCTGGTATGTGCCTGCCTCTGCTCTCCTGGCCCCTCTTGGCTGCTCTCCTGTCCGTTTTTCTCCTTTTCTTCCCCAAAAAGCCCTGTTGGAAGTAGCAGAGGGCACCCAGATTCCACAGGGCAGGAAGGGAGGCAGGGGTGAATGTTGGTTTGGTTTGGAAAGGACATTAAAGCTGATCTTGTTCCAAACGTCCTGCCGTGGGCAGGGACACCTTCCACTGTCCCAGGGTGATCCAAGCCCCATCCAGCCTGGCCTTGGACACTTCCATGGATGGGGCAGCCATCTGAGCACCCTGTGCAGGGCCTCCCCTCCCTCCCAGGGAAGGATTTCTTCCCAAAATCCAATCTAATCCGACTCTTTTTCAGTTTACAGACATTCCCCCTTGTCCTGTCAGCTCTCCCCCTTTTAGAGTGACTGTGAAAAGAAAATTCAGGTGCTTGAGGGAATTGTCCCTGAATTGGAACCAAGTGGAATCTAGATGTTGTTGAAGAGAAAAATATGGATTAGAGCAACACCAGAGTGTGGAGATAATTGTCTCTGCTTCCCAACCTCATCATCCAAGGGCTTTTATTACCTGCATTTCTGAAAAAGCCCTTTGCAGACCTGGAGAGGCTGAAAGACATGAAATGTGCTCATAAAATGCACAAAACCTTCAATTTTTGACCATAGTTTCACAGACTTTGGGAGGGTCACACTGCTCCCTTTTCCCTCTCAGCCCCAGCTACCCAAGAGAAGAGGAAGGTTCAGTGCCAAGGTTTTTCTCCCAACATTCCAGGGAGCAAATCCCTGTGCAGCAGGAGGCAGCCTGCACATACCTGCACAGCTCTCTGGGGGGATCTCTGGATTTCAGATAGGATCAGAGCAGAACCAGATGGCAGCCAAGGACAAACCTCTCCATCCACAGCAGCCCTGCCCTCCCTGAGCACAGTTTGTGCCCAAGCACAGCTCCTTGCCTGGATTTTCCCACCACAGCCAGGCCATGCTGTTCCAGCAGGGTTTATTACAGTTCCATGGGTTTGTTTTTCTTCTTGACCAGTTTGGTTTGTTTTTTTTTTTTTTTTTTTACGTCCCCCCTCCTTGTAATCAGCAGTAATTTATTGTCTGTAATTTGGGATTAGCCATTTATGGTCAAAGAAGGGGAATCTGGAGAGGTTCCCGTGGCACATGTGCTTGGGGATATCGATTTCTGCACTGTCCCTTTCACCCTGCTAAAAACAGATCCTCACTGTGCCCTGTCCTGGGGCTGTGCCAGAGCAGGGGCTTCTCCTTCAGCCCCACCACAGTGCTGGAGGGAGAAATCCCACCAGCCCAGGGCTGGAGGGGGAATTAATTCCTTTCAAATGAGGGTCTGGGACCACTGGAATGATCCAAAACATTCGAGGTTTGGGTATGAGGTGAGAAAAAACCTGTAATTGTGGAGTAAACCTTCGAGTGCTCCCCAAGTGCCTGGAGCTCAGAGCTTGCAGCCACACTTTGGTGGGGCTGGAAGAGATGGAGGGAGTGCACAGAGGGGTTGCTGCCTGCCTGGGAAGGCTGGAGGCGTTTTCCTGATGGTTTTTGTGTTGCCTTTCAGACTCCAAGGGCCTGTCGAACCCGGCGGAGGTGGAGGCGCTGCGGGAGAAGGTGTACGCGTCGCTAGAGGCTTACTGCAAACACAAATACCCCGACCAGCCCGGCAGGTCAGCTCCCTGTGCCCCTCCTCCTGCACCCTGCCCCCCTGCAAACCCCCCTGCAGTGGGTGCTGCAGCTCCCAGGGTCCCCTCTCTGTTCTGGGCTCTCTGTTCCCAGCGATTCCCTGCGGATAAATCGCTCGTTTCCACCCGCTGCAGCTCTGAGCATCCCTAAAAATCCTCCCCTGTGCAGTGCACAGAGCTCTTTATTCCCTTGCCAGGAAATCCAGCAAGGTGGGCAGAGCTGAGGAGCCCCAGCTCCCGCAGCCCCAGCAGTGGGATGAGCACGTGTGGGAAGGGGGTATCATTTCCCTTTAGGAAACCACGGCCAGCGAAACCGCAGCAAAAATAGGACTCACATGGAGTTAATTTTCAGTGGCAGATGAGCATCATTGCTGGGAAGTGAAAGCCTCAATTGATGCTCTTTTTCTCCCCTCCCTGCCTCCCCCAATCCAGCTGGGAATGGGAGGGGGAATCAGGAATGTGTTCCTGGATGGCTCCAGAGCTGAGTGGGCGCATTTTCCCAGTTACAGCCTGGAGCTGGCAACTGCCAGTTAAGTTCCTGACAGCTTCTTGAGAAACCAAGCACAGCACTGGAAGCTGCTACTGGTGCATGAATGGTGAGGGAAAAACAGCCCAGGCAACTGGGATTTGCATCTCACCTGCATTCCTGGCCGGGTGTGGATGTGAAATGAAAAGGGTGCTTTCACAGCAGCGAGTGCAGTGGGCAGAGCGTGCCCTCAGAAGTGATGCTGGATTTGGTTTTTCCCCCATTTTGGGTCTCAAAATGCTGGCAGATGAAGAAAGGTGTGTTGTGAAGGGATTTCTGGGACGTTGCTGGTTGGTTTGAGGCAGGCAGAGTGAGGATGTGGGTGCCATGGGGTGTGTTTGGTTTGTGGTGAGCAGGGGGATTGAGGGATGGGCACAGGGCACGGAGCAGGGGTCACCCCTCCTCTTCCAGAAATCTTTATTAAACTGCATTTCTGGAGCAAATCCAGAGCCAGGTGCTGGACTTTGGCTGTTGTGGTGTTGCAGAAGAGCTGTTCCTGGCACCAGGAGAGCTGCCTTGGGAATCGTGGCCAGCAGCTCTTCTGGATCATTCCCTTGTTGTGCAGGATCTGCAGCCTGGCACACGCAGAGGGTGGCACAGGGACAGCCCCAGTCCACAGCAGCTCCCCAGGGCTCTGCCTCAGTGCTCAGTGGTGTTTGAGGGAGTGTTTGAAGCCCAGAAGCTGCACCAGGGGCTCTGCAATTTAATCTCTCACTGGCTCTGAGTGACCTCGGGCTGGGAACCTTCTTGTGTGATACTCACAGCCATCCTTGGTGACCTGAGAGGTTCTGCACGCCCAGGGATGTCCTGAGAGCTGTGCCTGGGCCCTGCTGCCCCCCTGCATCCCTCAGAGGTGCAGGGCAGTGGTGGCACCATCCCAGGAGCCTCGGCAGGGTGAGCCCCTGGGCTGGGAGGACGAGGTTGCACAAAAGCTCCCCAAAGTTATCTGAAATCCTGGGTGTCTGCTGGCCCTGTGGCACAATGTGCTCACCAGCTGCAAGCAAGTTCTCCCTGTGCTTGAGCCACGTCTGGGACCTTCCCCTGCTCCATGCTGTGGGATTTCTGGAATTCCCACCTTTTCAGGTGCCCCAAATCCCCATCCAGCAGCAGCTTGGGAACACCCTGGAAACACCACAAGGGAATTTTTCTGCACAGAGAGGCATTCCCAGGAGAAACCCAGCTCTGCTCCCCCCCTGCAGCTCCTGCTGCTCCACAGGGAGGGCTGGGTGCCTACGTGACAGCCAGCAGCCTCAGGGAATCAGGAATCAGGGCTCTTTTCTCCCCTCCCAGCCCTGGCACGTTGTGCTCTGGGCTGGTTATCTCACAGTTAAACATATCCGAGGGCTGGAGCCATCATCTGGTTTGGTTTAAAGTGAAACTTCCTGAATGGGATGGTAGGACTGATTTGTTTTTCCTGGCTCTGCTCCCACCGTTCTCGCCAGCTCAGCAGAAAAAAAAAAAAAATTAACAAAATAAAAAAATAGGGAGAGGGAATTGTGCATGCATGTAGAATATCTGTGTGCTTGTGCATGGCTCTGTGTGTGCTTTCTGCAGGGTCCTGTTCTGCCTGGCTCTTTGCTGCTGATTTTGCAGCAGGAAAAGCAGATGACCCTGCTGTGGCCATTGAAGGGCTTTTTCCCTGGGTTTTTTTTTGGGAGCACTCACTAACTCAAGGAGGTGACATCCAGTGGCACCTGGGCTGCTCCAAGGCGCTTTGCAGGAGCTGGTGGCTTTCTCCTGGCTCCTGTCACCCTCAGGGCCCAGCAGCAGCAGCTTTTCCCTGGTGAGGGTGGCTGTGGGTGGCTCACTGCCATCCTGCCTGGGTCCTGCAGAGCTGCCAGCCCTGCCCAGCCCTCCTGCCTGCTGCGACCTGAAACCATCTGCCCCAGCAGGGCAGGCTGTGGGGACTCAGCCCTGGGGAAGGGGAGCACCCCTGGTTTGCAGAGCTCCCTCCAACTCCTGTGTCACCCTTGGTGTCACCCCTGGCTGGCAGCCCCAGGGTGTAGCTGTGATATTCTATGAAAAATCCTTTGCTAGGATTTTTCCCTGCTGGGAAGCTGAGAAGCCTCAGGAGAGAAATGTAAACAATAACTATCTGCTGCTGTGGAATGCAACAGGTGTATTTTCCATTGGTCTGTGTGGATTGTTTTCAATTGATGACCAATCACAGCCACTTGTGTTGAAGCTGTGAGCAGTCACAAGATTTTATGTATTCTATTCTTGTTCTTCCTAGCTGTCTGATTATTTTTTTCTTACTCTATTCTTTTGGTATAGTTTTAATATAGTATTTTAATATAATATATATCATAATATAATAAACCAGCCTTCTGAAAATGTATAAAAACCTCACATCTCCACACTTGGGGTGTTTCCAACACCAGGGCTCAGCTGGGGATGGCCAAACCCCAGTGAGGGCTGCTGGGGCTGCCCAGAGCCTGCAGGAAAAGGGGCATCACCCAGCTCACCCCACTGGGCATCTCTCCAGCCCCTTCCCAGCTGTTTGCCTTTTCCCTGACCGAAACCTGAGCTGCTGCTGCTGCTTGCAGCCCTGCCAGTGCCAAGGCTGATCCCTGGTGCCTCCTTTGGGTGGCTGCAGTGCAGGGACCCCAGGAGCATCTCAGGGTGTCCCCCAACCCAGGGCTGCCCTTTCATCCCTTGTCCCACCCTTCCAGCTCAGTTCCCAGCCCGTGTTTGTTGTGAATCTCCCCGTGGCTGCCTGATCTCCGAGGCTGGTCCCTAATTCCTGATTTCCCTGCGCAGCTCTGCCTGCAGCCCCGCGGTTTGATACCAACACTTCGACTCCAAACCTCGGGAAGCAGGGCTTCACCTGGGGATGTCTGACCGTGCCGTTATCTCCTTTTCCCCAAAGGTTTGCCAAGCTCCTGCTCCGCCTCCCAGCCCTGCGATCCATCGGCCTGAAATGCCTGGAGCACCTCTTCTTCTTCAAGCTAATAGGCGACACGCCCATCGACACCTTCCTGATGGAAATGCTGGAAGCGCCGCACCAAATGACTTAGAGAACTCTGCTGGGTCAGTCCCTCGCCCGGCCGGGCTCCCTCGGGGCCCTTCCTCTGCTTTCCTCGGCCCCAGCCCGTCCCTCCCTGCTGTCCCCAGCGCCGGAGGCACCGTCTGCTCCTGGGGACCCTCCTGGTCATCCTGCCCTCCCTGTCCGTTCGCTGTCACTGCTGCGTCTCCAGACCTGCCCGCTGGTTCCCTGTGCTACTTGTAGAGGAGTGGGAGCGGAGAGAGCTTTGCCAACCCCTGCCCCCGCCGTGCCGTGAGGTTTGGGATGAGCCACCACGGGCTGGTGTCACCGCCAGCCCTCCCCCTGGGGACAAGGACGGTGCCAGCCCTCGGGGCAGTGGGGGTTTGGACGAGCCGAGGGGAGTGGTTGGACTCTGCCAGATTTGCAGCTGGGCTATTTTCAGAGGATGGAGTTTTTGGAAAAAAAAAAAAAAAAAAAAAGGAAAAAAAAAAAAAAAAAAAAAGGAAAAAAAAAAAAAAAAAAAAAGAAATAATTTCTATTTTTGGTTTCTAACTATTCTTAGTAGTCTCGGTAGTTACTTTGCGGAGGGAGAGGCCGTGCCCCCTGAGTGAGTCACCCGTGGCTGCACAGAGGAGCCTTCTCCTTCCACTTCAGAGCATTTGGGATTGAGCTGAATCCCCCCAAAACACGGTGGCAGTGGCACAGGGAATGCCCTTTGGCCACGCTGGAGGGTGCCCGGGCATCGCTGCCCACCCCAGAGGTGTGGACATGAGCCAGCTGCAGCACTTGCTTTAAGGCTGCCAGGGACTCCCCATGGCCCTTCCCCAGCTCCTGGAGGCTTGCTGGGAGCCCTGCCCTCAGCACAGCATCCCAGTACATCCCAGTACATCCCAGTACATCCCAGTGCTGCCCCAGCATCCCACCGTGACCCCGCTCTGGGGTTTTGGGGTTTCGGCTCACCCAGGAGGCTGCTCCTGTTCTTTCAGCCCTGCAAAGCACTGCAAGGCAACAATTAGTGGGAGTGTTCGGCCAGGCTGGTTAATTGCAGCTGTTAATGAGTGGTGAAGCAAGAACGGGGCTCCCCCCTGCCCTGGATCTGCCCCGTGGGGGTGGGAGGGCCTGGCTGCGTGGGGGATGTGGCAGCAGCATCATCCCTGTCCTCCCCGGCATCCTGAGAGCACCAAAAGCACCTTGGCTTTTGCACAACCCTTTCCTTGAGTCTTGGTGACAGGATTTTGGGGGTTAGGGACAGGAATGTGCTCACACCCCACGGGATGGGATTCCCCCAGGAGTGTGTGGCCAGCGAGGGAACCATCCCCCCTTCCCCTCTCTCCTCATCTGGTGTCTCCTGTGCCCCACAAAAACACGAGCTGGAGAAAAAACGAAGCAGAAGGAATGATGAGGGATGTTGGGAAGGGTTTTCCCCCCTTGGCAGGATGGACACACTGTGCTGGGAGCCGAGGAGGAGGTGCTTCCCCACCACTTCCACGTGCTCTGTGCTTTAAAAAGCAAAGGATGAGGTCCCCAAAATCCCTTCTTGCTCCCCGTGGTTTGCAGCTGGTTGAAAACTCCTTTGTTGCTGGAGGGGGATGGAGCAGCGCCCACCACCTCACTCCCACCTCTGTTTTGGAGGGGACACCGTTGCCCCCTGCCTGTTGCCATCCCAGCTGGAGTGCCCAGCTCCATCCCCTGCAGCTCCAAAATAAAAAAACCACTCTGGATTTCAGGTGGCAGCTCCCCCTGGGGCTGGCCCGAAGTGGCGAATCTGCAGAGGCAGGCAGAGCGCCTTGGCTCTGTTTCCCCAGCAGCCTGCAAGCCACTGAAAATATTATTAAACAGCTTCACCCTGCAAGAATTTGCCAAGAAAACGAGGCAGGAGAAATGAAATCTGGCGAGGGTGCCAGGAAACACGAGCAGGCTGTTCCCTGCCAGCGGGAGGCTGGCGCAGCCCCAGGGGGTGCAGGGAGGTGGCAGAGCCCGGAGCCCCCAGCCCACCCAGCCCTGGGCAGCCCCCAGGCCCCAGCAGAAAGGAGCCTGGGACTTGCTTGGCAAAGAGGAAAAGCTTTGGGGAAGTTGGTGGATGTTGCACTAGGATAAACCCGCTGGTCTCTGGTGGGTTGAGCCATTTTTTTCCTGGTGGTGGCTGGGGAGGGGCTCTTGGGTGCTGTGGTGGCTGCAGGGTGGCACAGTGGGAGATCCCATCCCATTATCCCAGCCCATTATCCCATCCCATCCCATTATCCCATCCCATCCTTATCCCATTTTACTTCATCCCATCCTTTTCCATTCTGTGACGTTCCATCATCTTCCATCCCTTTTTTTCCCATCTGTCCCCATCCCATCCCACCCTGTCCCATTTCATCCCATCCCATCTCATGTCATCCAATCTTCATGCAATCCCATTCCATCCCATCCCATCCCATTATCCCATCCCATCCCCATTAGCATCTGACCTTACAAAGCCAAGGGGGAGGCTCTGCAGGCCCCAAGCTCCAGGTCAGGCTCATCCCCGTGCCTCAGTTTCCCTGCTGGAGCAGCACAGCCTCAATCCATGCCCATGGCGGAGGGGATTTTGGGAAAGGCTGAGCCTTGTCCTGAGGATTTAATCTCAGCTGGTGAAAGGGAGTTGGGATTCCCTGAGCCCCCAAAGCCCAGCCCAGCCCCTCCATCCTCACCCCAGCCCTTCCCGTGGGAAGGAGAAGCTTTTGTGTGTTGGGAACAGCCAGAGCAGCCTTAAAGCAACGAGCTTTGCATGAGTTTGAGTCTTTCCTTTGTATTCTTTTCACTTTGGGCTTTTTGTTGTTGTTGTTGTCCTCATCATGATAAGGCAGAGTGTGGAGAGGTGAGCGTGGCTGAAGGAAAACAAAAGGCACATTATTCCCTGGAGAGGTAGGATGTGGATTTCACCAGCTCTCAGTGCTCCTGCAAAAGCCTGCTCGGATTCGGGTGATCTATTTGTGATGCTTATTTTAATTCCTTTTTTGTTGGTGGGACGATCTTTAATTTTCTAAAGATGGCACAAACATCAGCCTTTCAGCCACCTGCTGCACCCCTCGCTGCTTGCTCCACCCACCCCACACCCAGTCCAGCACTTCCCAAACCCCTCCATGGCAACCCCGAGCTTCCCTTGGCACTGGAGCTGCCCCGGAGTGCCCGTGGGGCCGTTGGGGTGTGGGAAATGCTGAGCCCTGGCCTTGCTGACCCCTGCACTGCACTGGGGACAGCCCTGGGCTGGGCTGCTGACCCCAAAACCAGGCTGGGCTGCTGACCCCAAAACCAGGCTGGGGAGCTGACCCAAAACCAGGCTGGGCTGCTGATCCAGAAGCAGTCTGGGCTACTGACCCCAAAACCAAGCTGGGCTGCTGACCCCAAAGTCAGGCTGGGGAGCTGACCCCAAAAGCAGGCTGGCAAAAGTGGCTGGGGAGCTGCTGATCCCAAAACCACGCTGGGCTGCTGATCCCAAAAGAAAGCTGGGGAGCTGTGCTGTCCCCATCACTGCAGGCTGGGGAGCTGACCCCAAAAGCACCTGGGGAGCTGTGCTGACCCTAAAAGCAGCTGGGGAGCTGATCCCAAAGCCAGGCTGGGGAGCTGCTGTCCCCAAGAGCAGCAGGGGAGCTGTGCTGTCCCCATGGATGCTGGCAGGGGAGCTGTGCTGTCCCCAAGAGCAGCAGGGGAGCTGTGCTGTCCCCGTGTGTGTCCGTGTATGTACTGTAGATATTGACACTGTATAATACCCCACTCACATATACACTTAGAGAACTGTAGCAATTACAGAATTTCCTGGCTTTTTGTGGTTTAAGTCAATTCTTTTTTTTTTTTTTTTTTCCCCCTCTCCCCCTTTTTTTTTTTGGTTTTTTTTTTTCCCCCTCTCCCCCTTTTTTTTTTTGGTTTTTTTTTTTCCCCCTCTCCCCCTTTTTTTTTTTGGTTTTTTTTTTTCCCCCTCTCCCCCTTTTTTTTTTTGGTTTTTTTTTTTCCCCCTCTCCCCCTTTTTTTTTTTGGTTTTTTTTTTTCCCCCCTGTGTTTTGCTTCCATTGTATCTGAATCCCTTTCCGAATTGGCAGATGCCAAATCTGGATTCCTGGAGACAAAGGAACTGCATCTATTTTAAGATGCCTTTTTGTTTTGTTTTTCTTCTGTTTCCTTTTTCTTCTTTTTGTTTTGTTTTGTTTTCATTCTTTTAAGCAGGTGGTTTGGAGTAAAGAATAGCTTTAGCAATTCCCAATACTTAGTGATGGATGCCTTGGCTATGGGATACATAGATTAAAAAAAAATGACATTAAAATTTAGAATGACAAAAAAAAAAAGATAAAAGATAAGGAAAAAAAATATCTAAAGCATCAATAAAGTTAAAAATCTATTTTTGTACAAATGTAATTTTATCCCTTACCGTATCCTTGGATATTTTCTTTCCTGGATTGTTTTGTTTCTTCTACAGAGATTGTTATAAACTCTCTCTATTTTTTCTCTCTTTCTCTCTGTAAGTGTTCAGCCACAGGGATCTGGAGAAGAGGGAGAAACTTCTGACCGTGTTTTAAAGGCTTTATATGAAATCTCTTTTGAAATAATTTTTTTGAATGAACTTTTTATTTTTTTTTTCCCCCCCACTTCCAAAATCTTTTTGGGGATGGGAGGGGGGTGGGAGGGAGGGGGAGGGCTGGTCTGGGGGTGTCTTTTGTCACGTATCTCTGGCGTTCCCGCAGGTCTGTTTTACTGTGAAATCACTACCGTATATTATTATTCACTTCAAAAACAACAAAAAAGGTTAAAAAAAAAAAAGAAAATTAAAAAAAAAACAAAGAAAAAAAAGAAAGAACTGCTGCTGGAAACGCCAGTATTTCGAGAACAATTGTATTAGAATTATGGGAAAAAAAATGAGAAGGAAAAAAAAAAGAGAAAAAAAAAAGGAGAAAAAAAAAAAAGAAAATATATGAGCATTTTAAAATATAACACAGTCCAAGTCCTCGTTTGTCCTTATTGGTGTGTCTGGAGTTATTCCCGGGGGGCTGTCCCCAGCGGGGTCCCCATTCCAGGGCACTGCAAACCCAACAAATCCTGGCTGGCTGGGAGGAAGGAGCAGCCCCAGCTCTCCCCGGGACCTTTTCCCTTTTCCTCGGGTATTCCCGTGAGGGATTTCCCGATCCCTGTGCCCCGGTGCCCGCTGTGGCTCGGGGATGCCCAGCGATGGCATTTCTGTGCCAGCCCGGTGGCACCGCGGGGACAGAGGCCACCCTGGGCTGGGGCTGCCCCCGTGCCAGGGCTGGGTTTGGGGGGCACACAGGGATTGGGGGGCACACAGGGATTTGGGGAGCACTGAGGGATTTGGGGGCCACACAGGGATATGGGGCACACAGGGATTTGGGGGCACACAGGGATTTGGGGGCCACACAGGGATTTGGGGGCCACACAGGGATATGGGGCACGCAGGGATTGGGGGGCACAGAGGGATTTGGGGCGCACTGAGGGATTTGGAGGCACACAGGGATTTGGGGGGAACACAGGGATTTGGGGGGCACAGGGGGATTTGGGGGC